TCTTGCACTCGTTGCTCAACTTCTTCATTAATCTCTGATGTCAGCGGGAGGAGAACCAATTTTAGTTAAGCTAGACTCGGATTGAGTTAGAATCAAATGAGGTGTCTCATCATCTATCTCAAAGATCTGTAGTAAGCAAACTTGGATTGAGCTAGAATCAAATATCACAGCTTGATATTCTTCCCAAATAAGCATCTCAGAAGATTTCGAAGGCTCTTGTTCACTTCTGAATCTTCTATCAGTGAATTCACCAGCCAATCTACATCAATGTAGACTTTTAATTATTTATTAATGGTTCTCCCAAATATTAATCCACAACTAGGAGTCTTTTTGAGAAATCTTGGGATCATGTCATTTAAGTTATTCATATATTTGCACATAATACTGACGTAGTATACAATATCTGGGATAATATGTGATAGATAAATAAGTAATTCCTACCAATATTTAATTTCTTCTTTTATCCACAGAAATACTTTCTTCTCCCCAATTAGCCTTCTTATTTGAATCCATTAGAGAATCAGGTTTGCCTCCAATCATCCTTGTCTCCTTTAGCAAATATATGATGTATTTCCTTTTGTGATGTATCAGTATACCTTTCTTGGACCATGTTACCTCCATACCTAAGAAATATCTCATGATTCCTAGTTTCTTATTCAAACTCAATGGCAAACACTTCTTTGATTTTAAGAATTTTCCTTTTATCATCACCGATATAACTATCTTACCTCCCTGAATGTGCTTTATGAATAATGTATGATCAACTTAACCTTAATAATATCCACTAGATCTCATAGTTTTAGCAAACCTTCCAAACTATGCCTTTAGTGATTGTTTAAGACCATAGAAAACCTTCCTGAGTTTGCATACAATATGTTTGTCGGAATAATTCTTAAGTCCCGGTGGTATCTTCGGGTACACTTTTCTTCAAGATCCCCATTATAGAAGACATTTTTATGTCAATGTGATGCATTCCCCACTCCTTGTTCTGCTATAGAGAAAAGAACTCTGATAGTGTTAACATTAGCAACTGGTGCAAAGGCCTGCTGAGAGTCAATCTCGTATTTCTGAGTCAAATCTTTTGCAACCAATCTAGCTTTGAATCTCTCAACACCAAAATAAGCTCTGTATTTGATGTAAATACCCATTTGCATCCAACTAGCCTCTTATCCTGAGAAAGTTTAATAAGAGTTCATGTGAAATTATGTTTTAGTGCTTGAATCTTCTCTTCAACTGCTTTACTTCATTTTGGATTTTTAAGAACTTCATGAATGAATTTAGGAATCTTCATGTTATCAAAGTTAGATACAAAAGCTTTATAGGATGAGGATTACTTCTCATAAGCTACATACTAAATTGAAATTTTAGTACAACTTTCCTTGTGTCATCAACACGAGAGAAAAAAGGTGATAACTCATGAATTCTAGACTCCTCACCCAAAATTTCAAAGTGAGAGTAGACTCAATTTTTGTCTTGAGCGGTTCTATCTTTGCAAGTTGTATTTCACTTAAGTCTTTTCTTCCTCCTTATGTACACATGAAGTCCTTTGTTATGAACTTTAGGTTGAGATAGTTTCATATTTTCATGCCGTAGTGTTTGGGGAATGAAAGACAATGTGGGAGAGGGGAAGCTTGTGAGGCAAGTCAAGTGTCATTAAATGCATCCCAAAATTAATATTAATTTGCACTCTCCCCCTGAATACCAAATTTGAGATAGTAGGATTGATTTTCAAAAAATATGAGATCTATAGAGTAAATAGTATTTTATGGTAACATGTGAGTAGCAATTATAGCCCCTTTTGTTGAAGGCATACTCAAACAAAATATTTTTAATAGAATTGAGGTCCAATTTTGGAGAATCTATGTGAAGAAGATGCACACCCAAAAGTTTTAAGTGGTACAGTAAAATAGAAAGCTTTGATGTGGGGATAGGCATCCATCAAGACATGAAGTAGTGTTTTGAAATTAAGTACCCTGCCACACTTTTGATTTATAAGGTATGTTGCAGTAAGAACTGCTTCCTTCAAAAATATTTTAGAATTCCATGAAAAAGCATAATTGAGCGGGGTACATCAAGAAGATGTTTGTTCTTTCTCTCAACTATTTCATTTTGTTGTGAAAAAATAATACATTAACTTGCATGGATGATTCCATTTTTTGAAATGTAGGATCCAAGAATAGAGTTAAAATATTCATTTGTATTATCAGTTTTGAGGAACTGAATTTAGTATTAGAATTGAGTTTGAATCATGTCATAGAATGTTTGAAAGATTTTGATTGTTTCAGATTTCTTCTTCATTAAGAATACCCAAGTGATTCTAGTGTAATTTTCAATGAATGAGACAGCCCAGCTAAACTCACTTATGGTTAAAGGTCACCAAATCTCAATATAGATAATTAAAAGATAATGTCAGTGTTTATACTAGATCATAGGATAAAAAATTCTAGTGTGTTTAAAAAATTATAAATCTCACATTGATAACTGCTAGCTTTTTATTGATAAACAAATGAAGATAAAATTTTGCAACATAATTGAAATTAAGATGGCCTAGGCAACAATCTCATAACATGACTTATCTTTCAACAAGCTCAGAGATTTGAGAAAAGATGAAGTGGGTCCACTTGTGTGGTTAGAGAGACTTTCCTTGAGCCGGTATAATTCTTGATGCATTCAACATTGTCAATCACCTTTCTCGAATCCACCATCTAAAATTTATATGAGTTTGCAAAAAATTTAGTTATGCATTTCATATCATAAGTAACCTTACTGATTAAAATTAAATTATAGTTCAACAATGTAGCATATAAAACAAAAATAATAATAATATCCTGAGAGAACTCTACATCTTTTCCAGCAACCTTTTAATGTGATTCAACTGCCAGTCCAATAGATCTGGATGTAGAAGCTTCTTGATAGTTGTTGGCAAGATGGGAGAAGGATACATTTCCTTAGTGTGTCATGAGAATGGTGTGTGGTTCTGAATTACCCCCAAGGAGTTTTTTCAGTACTACAAGTTGTTCTTTGGTGAATGGGTCAACCAACTCTTTAGACATGGTAGCAATATTACCCTTACGCTCTTGATCTGTCCTCCCATATCTAGATTTCCAATCTGCAAGCTTTCCATAGAGTTTCTAACATTTGTCTTTGAGGTGCCCAATTTTAATGCAAAGTCATATATGGGACAATTCTTTATGAACTTTGAGTCACGAGAAGAAATATGGGAGTACGGAGCTGAGCTTTCAGCAATTGGTGAACTCCTATTTCCAGTCACAAACTTATTTCTAATCTCTTCTCTTATAACTTCAACAAAAGCTTCACGGGTAGAAAGAATAGGCTCTATTCCCATAATCTTTCCTCTCACTTCATTCAATTCCTTGATCCCATTAGGAATTTTATAGTTCTCTTCTTCTCGAAGATGGATTTATACATCACGACTTCATGTGTACATTTCCATATATAAGTCTCAAACATATCAAATTGTTACCAATGCCTTGTCATGGTGTTGAAATATTGGGTGAAACTTGGTTCTCATTGATGAAGATCATGTAGTTTGACTTCGATCTCAAATAACTTTGCAGTATTCTGAGTGCTACAAAAAATTTCTTTGGAGCCTCTCAGATTTCTTTGGTAGTTTTGTAGAGCAAAAAATTCTCTCCTACATCAGTGGTCATTGAGTCGAATAAACAAGACATAACCATACTGTCTTGAATCTTCTATAAGAGATGATTAAGATTAGTGAGCTTAAAACTGTGCCCCTCCGGTGAGATTTTCAATTTTTCATTTTCCATAAATGCATGTAATTATTAAGTTTATGGTTTGTAATAAAGAAATAGAGTTAAAAGGTTGTTTGGATAAAATTCCTAATCTTTGATTCAAAGCTAACCTCCGGAGTAGAACTAAACGTCTTCATTTTGTACTTAATCATACACCCTAACAGCAGGGAAAATTCAAATGTTGGATGGCTATTATAGAGGCTCTAACAGTTATAAGAGAGAGCAAAGAAGGGCCTGCAAGCTGAATAAGAGTTAAAAGTTTATTTCATTGCTTCTAACCGTAGCAGCAAAGCGAACAACACCAATCGAAACAAGCAAACTAGAGAAAGACAGTGACGCAAACAGAGCCAAATGATGCATGATGCCCTAATCCCGTCATAGGATGAAGGCGATGCAGACAGAGTTGACAGGTGATTCAAATGAGGCGGACGAGCAATTAATATGAGGGAATATGACGACTCAGATGATGTCGACGAACGAACAAGCAATCCGGACAAGGCAGACGCAAGATCTTAATGTACGGTTCAAATGAACAAGTGATTTAGACAAGGCAGACAAACGATTCAAACGAGGCAAACATCCGATCCAAACACTCGATTTAAACGACGCAAATGATGTTGATGAACAAGTCTAACAACGGAGATGAGGCTCTGATTCCATGAAGAAAAACATGGGAGGGAATATTCACTTAATTCTTGTTATAAATATTTAACCATAAGGCTACATATGTAAAGAAACATGTCACTCTTAATCTACAATCTTACCAAATATATTTGGCCTAAACATTTAAAGAAAATAATTCTGAAATAAACATAAATTGGAAGAGAACAAAAAAACTAATCAAAAAATTTCCCAAATTAGCTCCACTTAATCCATTCATCCTTCCTTAGATGGTCAGCCTAGGCCCAGCATGGAAAGGAGGCTGATCCTCCTAGATTTCCACAAGGTCAATGTTAAGTCCTCTAAGAGTTTGAAGAAGATCTCAATATTAAAAACAAGGAAGGTATCCTCAAGTCCAAATAAGGGCTTAAATACTAATGGCTGCAAAAAACCTCACTTCATTCAATAATGATCAATCAAAACTACAAGTCAAAAGAAAATATTTAATAGAAAGGGCTATAAACATGAAACTATTAAATAATCTTAATAAATGGGCTAATGACATAAACTACACTTAGCGCCCAATTAACTAAAAAACTCAAAAACAAAATAAAGGCTTTTCCATACCAGCAACGCTAATTGCAGCAGATCAAAAGAAACTTTGACATTTTTCTTGCTCATAATGCACTAAGCAAAAAGTGCGAGGATATTCAGAAAGAAAGGCATGCCAAATAGTCATAAAAAAAAAATTTTACAATATATGTTATAGATAGAAAATATTGGAGAACTTAAGACCAAGTAACGAAAAAATTGCTGAAGAAAAAAAAAGCAGGAGGCAACGCACCTTAAAAGCAGAAGACAAAAGAACATTTTGTAATTTAGGGACTGAATCATAGGATACTATGTTGAAAGTGCCATCCAGTCGTATAGCTAACTTCTGGCTTGAGAAAACTATCTTAAAACCTCCTCTAGTTGATCCAGCTTGAGATAAGACTACCTGAGCATTAAAAACACCAAGAGTTATAAACAATTGCAGCAAAAATTAGAGATAAGTTCTATTATAATATGTGCATGTCACGTTTGTACGGTAACTCTCATTGCTTTCTTTTGGTGCAATATCCTCTCAAATCAAGAAATGATATAGCTAGTTTCAACAACAAATAGTAGTAAAGCAAAATTTTGTAAGGACAACTCTATAAATGAATTTAGATATAATGTAAGCAAATTACCTTCTAAATAGTGCTCATTGCCCAGAAATTTGTAATATATCATTCAATATTATATATTACTTTAAATTTTGTTTTCCAAACAAACTAAAATACATAATAATTAATTAATATGAATCATATATTAAGACTTGATTATCTATCATATATGTTTTTCTTAGATATAGCCTATGATACCAGAGCTAACCCAAAACGCAACGGAATAAAAATAATTATTGATGAAATTCAAAGGGGATTACAAACAAAGACACTTGAAAATAGGAAAACAATGACATAAACACAAAGACCCCCTAGGGCAAGGATTGAAGGTGGTGGGTTGTTGAGGTGGTGGAAACGAAGAGTTGTAGACAGTAGAGAGCCTTAACGGTAGTGAGGGAGAAGTGGTATTGCGACTGGAAACAAGCAAAGGGCAGTAGAAAGGTACGGCAACCGGCAGTAGGATGATGGGAAAGTTCGGCAGCAGGATGGTGGGAAAGTTCGGCAGCAGGATGGTGGGGGGAAAGTTCGGCAGCAAATAGAGGGTGGTTGGACCATACGACTGCTGGTAAGGAAGGGGCGGTTTGGCGGCTAGACAACAAACAAGGATTGCAGAAATGTGTGGTAGCTAGCAGGGGAGCACGGGAGAGGGAGGAAAATAAAAAGATAATTACCACCATGAAGTAAGAAACAGTCGCAGCACCACTTGTCCTCGAATACATCCCTGGCAAGGGAGAACGAAGTCAACGACGAAAATCTAAAGCGAAAAACTGACCTAAGCACACAACAATAATGTATAAATAGTCATAGGGTAAAGATAAGTGGGTCACGCATAAATTAAAGCTAAACCATCTACTCTCCTAACTAGATCATCAGATGGTAGACGTTTAATGTGACCAAACCATATTGTTTACCACTTGAGCTACACCAACACTTTCATGGATATATTTTCACATTTTGTCTTTAAGCGTAAAGTCATTAATCAACCTAAGTATTCTCATCTCAGCAACACATAACTTAGTTTTATGCTTCTCTTTTATAGGTCGACATTCTGCATCATAGAGCATTACAGGTCTCGCCACCATACAACAACAACAAAGTCTTAATCCCACTACGTGGGCTCGGCTACATGAATCCTTTTTTCTCCATTGTGTCCTATTTAGCGTCATATTTTCATTTAGTTCTAATAAATTAAGATCATTTTTATACAATAAGTCCAAGTTTTCCTAGTTCTACCTGTCTTTCTTAACATAAGTTGAATCTAAAACATCTTCTCTTCTAATAGGATCATCAGATGGTCGACGTTTAATGTGACCAAACCATCTAAGACGACTCTATATAATTTTGTCCGTCACATGAGCTACACCAACCCTATCGCGAATATATTCATTTCACATTTTGTCTCCAAGTGTAAAGCCACTCATCCACCTAATCATTCTCATCTCAACAACACTTAACAAGGGTCTTTCCACCATCTTATAAATTTTTTCTTTAAGTCTAAGTGGTACTTTTTATCACACAATACGCTCAACGCATTCCTCCACTTCAACCATCCAAGTTTAATTTTACTAATAATATACCTATCTAAATCACCATCACTTCGACCAATAGACCTGAGATATCTAACATTTACTTTTTTTAATGATTTGATCACAATTTATCATAAATCTGTTACTAGATCTACTACTATTAAAATTATATTCCATGAATTCAGATTTAGATTTACTCAAACGAAGACATTTAGACTCTAAAGTAAACCTCCATAATTCAAGTTTTTCCTGAACTCGCTCTAGTCTTATCCACAAGAAAAATATCATCAGTGAAAAGCACAAACCAAGGTACATCCTCCTCCAATAAGAGCATTCATAACTTAAGAAAAAAAATATGGGCTTCTATACCCGATGTAATCAACTAAAATAGGAAAATATTTGATCAATTCTTCTTCTAATCGAACACAAGTACCAGCTCTAGAATACATATCTTTAATGACTTGAATATAAGTCTTTGACATGTCTGAATCTGAAAAAAATTCAGAAACATATTTTGCAGTGTTGAAAAAATGTCAAAGTTGTGTCCGCGTCTGACACGTGTCCCACACGGGCACAAAGCATTTTAGAAGTGTTATGCTACATAGAAGAAATGAAAATACAAAAATTACACAAATTTTCAAGCATTTAGCACAAATGGTAAAATCTTCCAAAAAACTATTTAAAAACCCCCACATTCTATTTAAATATACATTTGAATTATGTTAGAATCATTAATTTATTTAAATTATTTTTATAGGCATCACTACCAACTGCCCCACAAGTCAAGTTGTCTCCTTTACTGAAGAAGGCATCGTTGAAGAATTAAAGAACTTGACTCGAAACATAGTTCGGAAGAAGCACTTCAACTTCCAAAAGAGGAAGGCGAAACATTGGTGAGACGGAGTGTTCTGCAATTCAAACCAGAAAGATCCATCATGGCTCCAGCACAGCATCTTTCGCACCACGTGCACGGTAAAAGGCAAAATATGTAGTTTGATTATCGACGATGGAAGCTATGTAAATTGTATCTACACTCAAGGTACAAAAGTTAGAAAACCATCTCCGATCCATTCTCTCACTTGGCTGAAAAGAGGGAGCGAGGTACAATCGATCAGCAATGCTTAGTTGAATTCTCAATCGGTGATCAATTCCAGGAGCAAGTTTGGTGCGACGTGGTTCCAATGGACACTTGTCATATCATGTTGGATTGACCGTGACAATTGGACAGAAAAAATCAGCACGACGACTTCAAGAACACATGCACATTTAAGAAAGATGGGAAGCACATCATGTAATTACCCATCAAGGATGCGAAGGGCAACATCAACATAGATAATTTGTTAGTTTCACGAGCCACCTTCTTCCAATTCGTTCAAGACGCACCCATGGCCCTTGCATTAGTCCTCCAAGAAGGTACCAACGCCAAAAGGAAAATACTCGTATGCCTCCAATCACTCCTACATGACTTCAAGAATGTCAGGACCGACAGTCTTCCAAACGGCTTACCACCACTAAGGGACATCCAACACGCCATTGATCTCATACTGAGATTAGTGTTACCAAATCGCCCTGCCTATCAATTACGACCTGCAGAGTACAAGGAATTCGAACTTCAGGTTTAAGAACTTATTACGAGAGAATTGGTAATAGAAAGCACCAGTTCATATGTTATCCCCGCGCTCATAGTACCCAAGAAAGATGCTTCTTAGCAGATGTGCATTGACAGCCATGTCATTCACAAAATTACAATTAAATATCGTTTTCCCATACCAAGCTTCCACGACCTCTTAGATCAGTTGTACAAAGCCACCGTCTTCTCAAAAATTGACCTACGCAGTGGATATCATCATATAAGAATGTGACCGGAACACAAATGGAAAACCGTATTCTAGACACGAGATGGTCGTTATGAATGGACAGTTATGTCTTTCGGCACGTCCAACGTGCCCAACACTTGCGACTGATGAATCAAGTCTTTCGATCCCACATTGGGAGATTAGCGGTGGACTACTTCGATGATATTTTGGTTTATAGTAAATAAGAAGACCACCTGCAGTATCTTCCAACGGTATTCGAAGTCTTACAAGCTGAATAAATGTACGCACACCTTAAGAAATGTAAATTCCCCACAAACCAAGTATGCTTTTTAGGCTACATTGTGTCTAGCAGAGGCATTTAAATGGACCCAACAAAGATCGAGGCAATCGTAAGCTGGACCGCTCTGCAATCTTTCACCGAGCTTTGACAATTTTTTGGGCTAGCCCCTTCTACCGAAGATTTTTCTGCAACTTCTGCACTATCATCGCCCCTCTCACAAAACTATTGAAAAGAAAAGAATTTACATGGACAGTCACAGCCCAGACCAACATCGACATATTAAAGGAAAATGTGCTCAAGACTCAATTCTTGTCTTACCTGATTTCAACAAACCATTCGAGATTGAGTGTGACGCCTCTAGCATATGCATCGGCATTGTACTAAAGTTAAGGTGGTCACCCCATTGTTTATTTCAGCGAAAAACTAAATGAGACTCGACGAAAATATTCCACCTACGATAAATAGATTTATATCATTGTTAGAGCTCTGGAAAACTGGAGCCATTATTTGCTGACAACATCTTCACGGATCATGAAATTTTAAAATTTGTAAACAGACAAAATAAACTAAAAGGACCACACGCCACCTGGGTTCAATTCTTAGTTTCCTTCCAATTCATGCTCAAACACAGTCAGAAGTCAGAACTGCTAAGAGGGCGCTCTGAGCCATCATCACCTACTGATTACATCCATGCAGACTCAAGTTTTATCTTTAAAATTATAAAAGATGTATATGAAACAGATGAAAACTTCCAGAAAATTTTGTAGCAGTGTTAGGAGAAATCTAGTGGACCATACTACCAAATGGAAGGTTACCTGCTCCGCCACAATAAATTATGGATTCCCTGATGCTCTCTGTGAGAGGCCATCATCCAAGAAAACCATAATGGTGGATAGGCCAGTAATTTTGGCAGGGATAAGACTCTCACACTCATGAGAGAACACATTTTTTTGCCCCGTCTGACTATAGATGTGGAGCGGCGCGTCCAACAATGTAGGATTTGTTATATCGCCAAAACTTGCAGGTAGAATACAGGATTGTACACTTTTTTACTGGTGCTTGAGAAGCCATGGGTCGACTTCAGCATGGACTTCATAGTGGGACTTCCCTGCACACAAAGAAACAAGGAGTTTGTGATGGTGTGGTCGTCGACCGCTTCTCAAAGATGGCACATTTTGTGACCTGCTACCGGACGCTAGATGCATCTCAAATTGTCGATTTTTACTTCCACGAGATCATTCGACTTTACGACATTCTCAAGACCATTACTTTTGATCGGGACATTAAATTTTTGAGCCACTTACGATGGACCCTCTAAAGAAAATTAGGCACTAAACTCTAATTTAATTCTGCAACACATCCTCTGACAGATGATCAGACCGAAGTAGTTAATAGGAGCTTTGGGAATCTTCTTCGATGCTTCATAAAAAAAAACATCAAACAATGGAATCTCATTCTCGCTCAAAATAAACTCAAGACCATTCAATGTCGCAGATCTCACCCGATACTAAGAGGAACCACAAGCCTCCATAAATGATGTTGAAGTTCCCCAACCCTAGGGGATTGATGTGGGATTGACCACAATCCATCACGTCAGGTGTAACAAGAAGCCGGTCCAGCCTTCACGTTGGACCAAACCGGTCCATTCCTATCCCTTACTACGGTCGTCCATCCTCCTCCCGTGCCCAATTCGCTCTGCTTCCCAAACCCTGGCCTATTTTGTTGCTGCTCTCATAGTCGTTGCAATCTCCCCTTCAATCCCTTCCTTTTTTTCACCTCTTTCCTTCCTAGGATCTTGCCTAGGGTGCTCTCTTTTTCCCTATTTATGCATGTTCTTTTCTTAGGTATAACCAATTATCTTTGTTGTTGGTTTTTTTGTTCCAGGTGATCTTCTTGGCATCGTCCCTCATTCGAGGTTTTGTTCTTCGGCGAAGTAGTGTTACTGTTGTATATCACCAAGGTGGTGTGCATCCCCACTTCGTTCCATCCACTCAGCATCTCCATTTATCGTCGCCGCCCTCCCAGTTCCTCCAACATGCAGATCAACATCCCGTCAGGCTTCCTCCAACAGTACCAACGAGCCACATCTCCCTCCCAAGCTTTTGTACCACCCTCTTCGCCACCTCCCAGCCTTCCCCCAGCAAGTTGTCACGTCTCCCGACCTTCCCTCAGCAGGCCGCCGCACCAATAGGGCCCTACAACACCCCTCCAACCTTCGTTGACCATCCGCAACCTGCTCTCTGCCACCCTCCAATGTTGAGGATCCATCTGGTTTCCTTCTAACTGTCGCCAATCCCTCCTCATCCGGGGGCCTTTAGCACCTACCGATACCTTCCGGGACTGATTTTTGTTTCGTGCCTAGTCTATTTTCTGCAATCGCTATTTCATTCACTGTTTATGTGTTGTTTTGTAATTGTTTTTGCGCTAGTTGCATTTATTTTTTATGTATATTGTTGGTGGAGTCCTGGTTTGGGTTAACTCTGGTATCACATAATCAATGCAAAATTTTTATATTGGAGATTTAGCTACTCTAGGAAAGAGAAATACCTTTATACCCATTTTTGTGTCCAGATGGCTCTTTTTCATAGTTTTTATTTTGATACGGTATATGAATCGTCAGAGCTTTTTAATATCCTCCGCGATGGCAGGGCCTCTTTTGCACAAGTCTGAGAATTCGTTTTTGTACCTTTTACACTTACCTCTTATGTTTAATGCAAAATGCACAATTCAAGGAAAGAGAAATATCTATATGCAGATTCAGATTTCTAATTGTACACTTCAGATCTAACAATACCAATTTATACAATGAAAATTAAAAATACCATGGGCTTGCAATGTCAGTTAACTAATATTTCTACAATTGCAGGGATGCCTACCATAACTATGGGTCAATGTTACAATTTCACGCATAGATTACGTCGGTCCCGAGCCGATGTAATTAAGAAATAGCAGAGCCGATAAAGAGGGGATGGAACAAAAATAGCCATCATAAATCCAATTACATGTCAATGAACAGCACCAGAGAAAACAATATACTACAAACTTTGTATTTCACATTGGATTTACAAAATAGTGTTAGGACATAGAAGTTCTGAGAAAGTTTGTCAAGAACATGCCAGTATATCTCCAGCAGGGATGCCAAGCCATTGATGAATCATCTACAAGAAAGAATAGGGCAGGTTTATGAGAACCACTGACAAATTATATAAAGAAAAGGAGCATACAGGTCAGCATCTATTACTGAAAAGTAACAGGATAGGAAGGCTTCATTAACGGTCTTACAGAAGCCCAATGCAGCCGCAAGGATGAGGGCGTCAGAACGAGAACAGGCCAGGACTCACCAAGGCTAGAAGCAACTGCAAGTGCCTGCACTGACAAAAATCAAGATTTAGTCAATTAAAATCAAAGTAAAATCATTATAATTATTAAAAATGTTAGCCAATCTGTGCTTTATTAAAGTGACAAAAACCTTCATTCAGTCTAACTAACATTTTATGTTTATTCTACCCTATCCTACAACCAAGAAAAGTTGTACCAGCAGTAGCAGATTCTAATCATTTTCATTTTCTATGAGAATCCAAGGTGAGCTCTTAAAAAAAAATATGAGACAAGTACAGCAGTATTGCTCACCGTTATAAACAGAAAAGGATTCACATTAACAGCAAGCATTCAAAAAAAAAAAAAAGAAAAACCCAAATGCTACCAAATAATAAAAAAGGGGTGGTTCACGAAGAAAATCCCAGTTTAGCCTTTCTTTCAAGTTCTTTCCAGTAGAAAATGCATGCTAAATGATCTGCTTTGCACTCTAAAATCAAATATTGAAAGTTTTCCAATCTCACAAAAGTACAATTTCTTAACAATAACAAAGGCCAATTATTCATGCATAGGACCACAATTCATGGACATAGTTTTCAATGTGTAAAACCAAATTACTCCTCCTACTTCAGTATAATTATCAACATTAAAACAAACATTTGCCTAAATTTTCGTCTCCTGTAAAAGTTGCCAAGAATATAAAAGAACGCTTCAACTAAAGTGATTACTACAGCTGATAGTTGTTGTCACAAAATTCAAATATCATTATGGCTAAGAAGCGATTGCAGCTTCCTGATGCACAGTAAGCCCAAAGAGGGGGTGGGAAACGAACAATAGTGACAACAGTGCGGTATTCAAGAAGTAAAACCAAAAGGCTGCTAGCAAACTAGCAGTAGCATTATTCTTTTTTTTTGTGAAGGGTGACTAGCAGTAGCTTTTGGGTTTAATCTTCAAGACAACAGGCAAAGAGATGAGTAGTGAAATTCCCTTTAAAGATAAGCAAGCCTACAATTAAGTTATCACTAATATGGTATGAAACATTCACAAAACTCAACCCAATGATAGAAGGGTACAATAGATCAAGGATGTGAAAAGGCGTCTAGAGTAATGAATTTAAAGTTGCAATTGCCTGTAATGTCTTCCCAAGCCCCATCTCATCTGCCAAAAGAGCTCGTCCACCATGCTGTAACACAAACCTACAAAAATGGAAGAACCATAATAAGATTTGTATAGCCAGAGTTGAAAACAATAGGATCATTCAACAGTCAACAAGCATTTGAAGCCAATATGACCATAGAATGATACTCCAAGGCTTGTCCGCTCTAATAACCATTTTAAGATATCTAAAAGTTGCAGATAGAGCACTGTGAAACTAATTTTATTCCATTTTTCAATTACGAATAAAATAAATCAGTTAATAATATTTTAAAGCAATTTCAAGCGTCAATCTGAGGCTCTAAACAATGACAACAGACACTAACGGTTTTATGCCCTTCTAATAAGTTGAGAAATTATACAATTGAACATGTTACCATAAAGCTTTAAAATGTAGTCCTACAAACTCTAGACAAAATTCAATAGAGACGACTCCACAGAGTACCTATATATATATATATATATATATATATATATATATAATAAGAAAAAAGACCAAGGGCTAAAAAAATAAAGAGAAAAGATATAGATAGGTTGTATGAGTGGGCCCAAAAATAAGCACCCAACCCACACGGTACAACAGACAAAAAAAGTCAAAAAAGATACATATAAAGATCAAAAAAGCCCAAAACCACCAAGGCGCTTAAAAAGTAAGGGTTGTCCCAATTTAGTTTTGTCTCTGCCTCTTGTTCTCGGAAGGGATCTAGTGAACAGATTGGTAAGGTGCGTACCATTACCCGAAGTAACCAAAGTATCATTCATAAGACTCCTGAGTAGATCTTCATTCTTCTTCTTCCTCCTGAAAGTGTAAACCTTTCATTCTTCATCCGAAGAATTAGTCTGATGAGGTGGTGGAGCTGTAGCAGAAGGATTACCAACCAGAGTACCCACAACATGTTCTAGTATATGTGAAGTAAGAGTTGCCTCTACACCGGATGCTTCCTAAAGACGAGGAGCTGCGAGGTTCTCCTGATTATCAGTCTGAACACTATCATTTGTAGGTAATAGTCCTTCAGTATTGTTTTCTATGGGGTTTGAAGGTGTGAGCATCACATCAATCACAGTAACAATAATAGCAGTGTTGGGGGGGTCCACAGGGGCAACAGACTCCTCCTGTCTGGTAGTATCCTCCTCAAGTAGAACTAAAATATCCAGAGCAGTGGGGTTAGACTCATCCTTATCCACTTGAACCTTAGATTTCAAATTAGAACGAAGCTTGTGACATTTATCAAGAATATGCTCAAACATCTTACAGTGGGTACAATATGGAGGTTTATGTTCCATTACGATTTGTTGTCAATATTCATTATGAGTTGTGTCGAGCCAGACTTCAGTAATATCAAATAAAGTAATATTCTTTTCCACAATTATTCTGGTCACAGAAGGTCTGGTTAGATTGAAAGTAGGTAGATCTAGCTTAATAAAGTCCTCAAGGATGACCCCAATGAAATAGAGAACCTGATGATAAAAAAGTGCATCTTGAGACCAGGTAGACTAAACCATACCGGTACAGTGGGAGTTTCATGATTTGGGTCGAAATCAGGAAACCACTTGAGTAACTTCATTGATTTGCTTGCGATATTAAGATATTTCTTGGAGAAAATCTGAGTGTAGTCTTCAGTCATGGTTAGTTGAATCAACACATGTTTCTCATCCATGAGTCTCACTTTCCACTTGCTAACTAGTTTAAGATCATCAACACTTTTTTCTGATAACTTATATAGATGGATGCCCCCACTGAAAAAATTTTCAATAAAAACAAATTTAAATTTCTCTGTCAGGGTTGAAATTTCTAAGTCAGAGAAAATGATAGTTGTTTTTTCAACTTTCTTACTTTCATTCTTAACAAAAATGCAATCAACCGTACCATCGCGACAATCCTTATAGCTAAAGAGGAAGACAACTGCAAACTCCACCTAAGGGTTACTCACCACGTGGGCAAAGAGGTTTTATTCGGTTCAACCAAAGAAGAAGGAAGCGCCATCAGAGTAGGGAGATCCGTCGGCGTTCACCTGCTACAAGATGAAACGAAGTTGTTGTGTGGGGAGAGAAGATGTCGGACAGGGAGAGGCGCAGCGTCGAAACAGAAAAGTACGGGGGAACTTTCTGTCGGGCAGGGCGACAGAGGCGTTGTCGAGCAATGAAAGTGACGAGGCCGGCGTGCGAAGCAGACGCGGCGTGTGAAGCAGTCAGAATTGAAATTGGCAGACGCGAACTTGTGAAGCAGTCGGCGTCGAAACAGAGCTCGATGGAGAAAACGCAGAAGACGAAGCTGAAAAAATTACAGCGAGGAAAGGAAAGAAAACTGATGTGAATCGTCGTAACAGTTGCTAGGGTTTACCATGAGTCGAAACCCTAGCAGAGCTGATAGCGAGAGAAGACGACGTCATCCTTCCTAGGATCTT